CTGAAGTCGTGGAGTTTGAACAAGAGAGCTTGGATTACGAGCCCAGCCTTCCTGGGTCTCCTGTTCCTGAGGATCTGCAGCACTTGGTGCCTGAACCCTCACAGGCAGGCCAAGACCTTGAGCTCCCTCAGGAGTATCTCCCTGGAGGAGACGTTGAAATGGATCAGGTTGATATGGATGACTACACCGTGCCCATGGATGTAGCTCAGGTCCCGGATGTTCTTGACAGTACGAGCATGCCTCAGTTCATGTTCTCAGTGATTCCGGACCAGAAGCATCACCTGAGTCCTGTTGATTACGGTGAGGTTGGCTTGTTTGCTGCACAGCTCAAGAGAAAAGCGCCCGCTCAGCACAGTAATCCCGATGAGGGGGTGACCATGCCTTTCGGCGATCGGGAGGTGTGGGTCATCAAGCCCACTTCTGTGGTTGATGATGTTAGTGGCTTGCCTTTGGATCCTGAGAAGACGTGGGTTGGAATGCAGAAAGAGGTGTCTGCCATGCACAACTTGGGTGTCGGCAACGCACGCACCTATGATGAAATTAAAACCCACTGCCAGGAAACAGGTGCCAAGATCATTAAGTCGCGTTTTGTCTTCACTGACAAGGTTGATGTTGACGACCAGCACATTGTGCGTGCTCGCCTTGTTGCAAAAGACTTTGCTTTCAATCAACCATCCGCGCTGGGCATTGCGAGCCAGACTGCTTCTGTGGAGGCCTTCAATGCTTTCATCTGCCGTGTTGTCCAGGATACGCTTGTCCTCTGGGGACTTGATGTTTCGACTGCCTTCTTGTATGCCAAGTTGGTTCTTGATACCGTGCTTGAGTTGCCGGGATGTTTTCAGAACCTTGACGGCTCTAAGGTTTATGTCATCCTGGAGAAGGCCATATATGGCTTGAGATCGGCAGGCCTTTCATGGCAGAAGCACCTTGCTGGACTTCTTGCTGAGTTGGGGTTGTTTCCTTCGCTTATAGAACCTACGTTGTACAAAGGGTATTGGGGAGACATCCTTGTGCTTTGTCTTGTGTACGTCGACGACATCTTGCTAGCCGCAAGAACCAAAGAGGCAAACCAACAGCTTCTAGACTTTCTCATGGGCCGTCTTAAGGTCAAGCTGACCGGACGCTTGGATGAGGACGGCAGGATTGGATTCCTAGGTCGTGAGATAATCAAGCGTGGCCATGAGATCTTGTTGGCTGTGAAGAAAGAATACGTCGATTCGATCTTTGAGGTTTTTGGTTGGAACCAAGAGAGCCGCAGGAAGATGAAGCCCTGCACCGCTCCACCAGACCTCCGATCGATCCTTGACAAGGAAGACCCCGAGAAGCCCTCCGAAGAGCTCTCCCCTGAAGCCGCGAGCCGTTTTAGGAGCACCCTAGGGAAACTAGGCTGGCTTGTGCAAACCAGGGGAGATTTGTGTTATTTTCACTCCATGTTGTCTAGAGGTCAAGCTTGTCCGCGCGCTGTGCATGAGGATTGTATGCGTAAAGTGCTCCGTTGGCTGTTGGAGGTTCCCGACCTTGTTCAGGTCTTTCAAAAGGAATCCAAAGCCCAACCGGGAGCTGCAACCCTTGTTGGATTCAGCGACGCTACTTGGGCCTCTGAGCGCTCTACTGGACGAAAGAGCACCAGCGGAGGAGTGATTTACCTGAATGGGAACTGTATCAAGACTTACTCGAGGCTCCAGCCTATCGTAGCACTCTCCAGTGCGGAGTCTGAGCTTTTCGCTATGGTTGAGATGGCGCGCGAGCTTGTAGGATTGGGGCAGCTTTTGGGCCACCTTTTCGAGAGCGTCGCGCAGTACCTGCCTACGGATAGCTCTTCCGCTCGCCAGGTCAGTATGATGTCCGGCTTCCTGAGGAGGATGCGTCATGTGGACCTCCTCCGTCTTTGCTACTTGCAGGATAAGGTCGAGAACGGCGAGATCCTTGTTACACACGTCCCAGGGACGGACAACGTCGCCGACTTGCAAACAAAGAACTTGAGTGTCGCGCAAACTTGGTATCACATAGGACAGTTGTGTCTTGAGGAACGTCTCACCCGTAGTGACTATCTTCGAGGTGATGCGCCCCCCAATCCGTTGCCTTGTGTTTGCCGCGTTCAAAGGTCTGTTTTCTGCAAGCGTCGATGATCCTTGGAGTGTGTTGGTTGGTCGTTGTAGGTTGCAGACACCGCATTACATTGTGATGGTCGAGTTCTGCACTTCTGGAGAAGCCTGGTTGACTAAGCTTGCTAGCCATTATGGCATCCATGCTATTCCCGTGACGGAAGAAACGGATGGTACTCTCCCAGAGACCATCGAGCTCATTGAGCACGCCCTTCATGCGGCACACCGTCGGAACATGCATGTTGTTGTGTGGGCCTCGACGCCCTGTACCGGTGGTTCGCCCTGGCAGCGCTACCACCAAGCTCGATCTGCAGATCACTATGATGAAAGGATGAAAGGACTTTTCACAGTCCACCGAAAGCTCTGGAAGAGCTTCTTGAGGCTAGTCAACACATCTGATTCGACAACTTGGGTCATTGAATGGCCGCAACGTTGTGCTTACTGGGGATGGTTCGCTACGAAGTCATTCCTTAAGATCAATCCGCATGAGACCGCTCTTGTGCATGGTTGTGCTTGCGGCATGGTTGGAATGGACGCACTTCCAGTGAAGAAGGTTTGGAGGTTGTGCTCGAACAGTCATGTTCTCATTCACTGCATGGATAAATTAAAGTGCCCTGGAAACCACGAGCATAGTAAGCTGTTCGTTCTGAAGAACACCCAGCACTACCCCGAAGCTTTTGCTCACACAGCTCTTAGGGCTTTGAGTGCTTGGTAGGTGCTGACGCCTCTTTGTACAGCCGCAGCGGTTTTTGGAAGAGCCATAAAACTATCGTGGACCGTGAGAAGATCTACGAGCCCAATACGCAACAGCAGCCACTGGACCGGTACCTTTTCTCGACGACAGGTTCATGAGGGGGAGTTGATTTTCAATCCTGGCTCAAGTTTTCGGCTCAGACTTTGCAGTGCCGACGTGGCCTTTTAGCCTGGAGTCCCTACTTTTGCTAAAGGCCCTGACTGGAACCCAACCGCAACCTTAAAGGTCGTAGGCTGGCTGTCCAGCAAGGGTTGGGGCGGGGTAGCGCCATACTGCACGTGCTTTCAAGCCGAACACTTGCTCAGCCGTTGTCACAGGTTGAGCTTGCTCGCCATGACTTGGGGAAAAAACGGTGCCAAGGGGGCAGCAACGCCCTACATCGTCTGTCCTCACTGCTCTAGGGCGGGTAAGCAGAGCTGGATTTTCGTAGACAGAGTCCAGCACCACCCCTTTTGCAACCTGTGTGGCAACGCCTGGAAGACAAAGGGTGCTCCGGTCACTCAAAGACTGCGCCCGCGGGGTCCCAAGAAGAACAGGGACAGAAGCGCAACCACTGAGAGTGCCACCCAAAGCCCCCAACGGCCTAGGAATCAGCCGTCACGACACTTTGGCAGAAGTTTCCCCCAGAGGTCCAGAAGGAACTGAGCGAGGCAGGTTTCCAAGCAGGCCGGCAGCCGAGTCCGCCTCCAGGCCTCCAGTCTGGGAAAGGCAACGGGGCAAAGGGTGGGCTTGACGAGCAGGCCGAAGCCTCTAAGAACCTGTGGGACTCTGCGTCTGATGATCAGAAGAAGCTGATGCGCCAAGCTGGCATCCCTGAGCCGGTTGCGTCGGAGCCAACAGACCTTGCGGCCCTTTGCAAGAAGCACTTGGAGTCAATGCCGCCTTCGATCCAGCAAGCCCTTGCAGCACTGGATCCACCGGCCCCCACGCAGACTCAGCAGATTGAGATTGCAACTCGTCGCTTTAAGCAGAGCACTACGGACTTGCGACTGATGATCCAGCAAACTGCTGCCTTACAGATTCGCATAGACCGCGCCAAAGCAACCTACCAGGAGCTGCTTGAGAAGATGAAGGTTTGCCAATCTGAATTGCAGAGCAAACAAGCTGAAGTCACGGCTATGCAGTCGGAGTTGGAAGCCACACTCCGTGCTGATGCTTCGGGTCTGGAGGACCCCGCGCGCAAGGATGATCCCTTGGAAGGGCTTCTAGATACGCTTGCCAAAGTCGGAATTGTCCTGACCCAGGAGCAGAAGGAGCTTTACGAGGAGGCCCAGCGCGGCAAGCTTAATGATGGGCAGCAGAATATGGAAGTTGAAGCCACAAACCAGCCTGGTTTGACGGCTCCGACCCGTGCCCCGCTGAGCCAAACTCTGCCAGAACACAAGGGCACTGAGCCGCATGAGCAAGCCAAGCCCAGGTCCAGGAGCCGAGGCCGTAGCACTCAGCAAGGTTAGGGAGTGGGGCTGGGGGTCCAGGTTAGGTCTGTTTTCGAGGAAGGTCCTTTAAGTGGGGAGAGTGGGCAACCTGCTTGTGCATTTCAGCCTGCCCTTCAGCTTGATCAAGACGTTTCCTGTGCCCCTGCGTCCAGCTCTCAGCCATGCGGGTTTTCCGGCGAATCGGTTAAGCGACCCATATCTTTGTACAGTGATTTGTTTTCATTGGGGGAGTGCCAACCTCAGCAGCCCAAGTCCTTAGAGAAGGTTTCAGGGTATGTTGAGGCTTACTCACAATTTTGCAACAACGACCTTGTATGGGGTCAGTTTTGGTTACCAGGTTTTTCTGGTCAGGAAGAATGGGATTCTTGTGGGGATCTGAGTGCCTGGCAGACTGTTACCAAAGGATTGCGCCACAGCACCCCGCTGCAGTCCCAGGACACCCAACTCATCACAGGGCCCCAGTTCTGGCCCCCATCTTTCTCGACAACTGAGTTTGATGAGGTCCCTGTGACCGGTGCTTCTCCAATCTCTGCTTTTGTGGCCACAACCTCAGCAACGGCATCTCAAGTTGAGGAGTTTCCTCGCTTACAGGCGTCGGGGAGCCATGCCGAGGTAGGGGTCACCCGCAAACGTAATAAAACCAGACGTAGAACGAAAAAGCCCAAACACATTCGGGTACCCTTCTCTCAGCTTGCCCCTTGTGAAATGCCACCTGAGGTGCCTCCTTTGGCAAGCCCACACAGCCAGTGGCGCACACTCGAAGGCCAGGTGTGGGAGGCTGTCCAGAACCCAGATCTGTTGGGAGCAACTTCAGAGGTGGTTGGCCACCTTCTTGATCAGGTTGAGCAGGGCAGCTTAGGTTGGTGGCTGTGCCAGGAGATCTTGGCCCTCCAACGTTCTTTTGACTTGACTTTGCTCTTGCTTGTTGCTCGGGGCTTTGAAGTTTTGCGCAAATCGCAGCCACAGGGGCACAGGCAAATGCGAGTCACATCTTGCAACATCACTTCTTGGAGGCCAGAAGTCAAGCAATGGTTTTCAGCTCAAGGGGATGTTATCTTGATTCAGGAGCACCACCTTTTGGAGTCCCAAATAGTTGCTGAAATTTCGTCTATGGCTGCCATGGGCTTTGACTCTTTCCTTGTGCCCGCAGCCCCTGGGGAGGGCCGACGGAATAGCTCTAGAGGCGGAGTAGGGGTTTTAGTTAGAGCCCACCTGGGAGCCCGTTTGCGAGGCCAGTATACCAACCAAGGTTGCGGTTACGTGGCGGTGACGCTACGCACACAAGGGGCTGACTTGACAGTAGTTAGCCTGTACCTCCAGTCCTCCTCCGGCTTCGGGTCCCCGGTCAACTCTGACATCCTAGCATCTCTGCGCGCAATTCGTCAATCTGTGAGGGGCCCAATCCTGATAGGTGGAGACTGGAACTCGCCTTTGAAGGATTTGTTGGACACTTCCATTTTTCAAATTTTGTCCCTGGAACCAATTGGGCCCAACAAAGCCACCTGTGGTGACAATGAGCTTGATTTTCTGGCTGTATCACACTGCCTGGAAGGTTTGCTCCGGGTTGATGCCTCCTGGGATGTTCCTTTCAAGCCACATGCAGCAATCCAAGTTGCCCTCAATGTGGGCGCTTTCCAGCTCACCCCTCCACAGCTTCCCTCCTTTGTGCTTTCCTTCAGGGAAGAACCGCTTGATTACATACAGGTTGAGGAGACCCTCGCCTCTTTGCCGGATACCACCTTTTCGGCTGACCCTCTGAGCAATCGACTGGCTTCCATTTCCAGTTCGGTTGAGCACAGTCTTTTGCAATCGTCCCAGGGTATTGGTCGCCAACTCCAAGTTGCATTCCTCCCAGCTGTTCCTCGCATGTCCCAGTTCGCATGGGAAGGTTCTTGCCAGGCTTTTTGGCACCGGGTACAATTTCTGTGCCAGGGCGACCACCCCAAACGTCGAGAGCAATGCCAGGAGTATTTGCCGCAGATCCTGGACCACTGGCAGGGCAACTCGGAGGAAGCTGTTTCTTTTCTTTCTACGCTCCAGGCTTGTCTCTCGGAGCAGGCTGCTGTTCCCGAGCCCGTCCAGCAAATATTGCAGGAGCAATTTCTGCTGGCCTCTAAAGTTCACCAGGATGCCCAGACCAAATCGTACAGGTCGTGGTTGCAGGGAGCCCAAGAAAAAGGGATGGCCCCCCTTTTCAAGACGATCAAAAAAGGCGAAATCACCACTGCACGTCCCTTTCGGGATCTGTCCGCAGAGGTTCGCGCCCTGGCCAGAACCAAACTATGGCTCCGCACTTGGAAAGGCGTACTTAGAGTTGAGGACCTTCCTCCTCTTCCACACGCAGAGCAACAGGCTCGCGGAAAGCTACGGGAACTTGCTGCTCAGCAGGTCGCTACCCTGAGCCCCATTTCCCCGGAACAGCTGCAACAAAGGTTTTCCAAAGGCAGGGTCACTGCCCCAGGACCGGACGGCTGGAGCAAGTCCCTTCTCAAGAAATTGACTTGGCCAATGCTTCAGGACATGTCTGAATTTTATCAGGAGCTCGAAAGAGGCCTCCGAGTCCCGCAGCAGTTTCTCCTGACACAAGTTTGTATGCTGCCCAAATCGTCTACTGCTGAGAGACCTATCTCTTTAACTCACGTTTTGTGGAGGGACTACTGCAGAGCCAGGTGGTCCCTGATCCAAGAGTGGACGGTCTCCTACCAGGCCCTGGCTCCTTGGGATGCCGCAGTGCCAGGTCGAACATCTTTAGATATCGGCATCCGCCGGTTGCTGTGGGCCGAAGCCTCCCGAACTCAGTCCAAACACTTTGTAGGACTCTTTCTTGATATCAAAGGTTTCTATGACTATGATTGTGTGGTTTGGGCCTCGGTAGTCGACACTGGACTCCTGTTACAGTTCCCACCTTTGCTTTTGGAGCTTTCCCTTCAAATTTATGGTGGGACACGATTTGTCTCAGCCGAAAATTCGGTTTCGCCGGGAATCATTCCCACAGTTGGGCTGCTTCAGGGTTGCCCTGTTGCGCCGGTGGTTTCGAAACTGGCTTTGTTTGTCCCAATCAGGGACCTTCAGGCCACTGGCCTCACTCACAACATCGACCAGTGGCTGGATGATATTTCGGCTGACGTGGTAGGGTCCACTGCTTCTAACACGGCTCACAAAGCCCTCAGGACATTTCGTATACTGCGAGACTCTCTTGCGGAACGAAATCTTCAGGTTTCCTTGGAAAAAACCAAGTTTCTTTGCTCAGACTCTGCCACCTCTCAAGTTCTTGCGCGTCTGCGTTCGGACCAAGATCCTGGCATTACTCTGTTAGCCAAAGACTTAGGAGTTGACAGCAATGCTGGCAGACGCCGCAGGCTTGCCACCTCTCTGGTCAGGCACAAGAAGGCGCAAGGCCGCCACAAGCGCCTTCGTGCTTTAGGTGTTGATTCGCAATGTTCACGCACGAGGGTTGTGCGCGGATCCATCATGACGTGTGCCACCTATGGCCATCAGGCACAGGGTGTTAGTCCCAAACGGTTGAAATGGCACCGCGCTGTGCTGGCTGGTAGCTTAGGACGCCAACATCTAGGAGGAACCCTGACCGTCTTGGAGATGTTCTCCCACAGATTTCCGGATCCCCGAGAGCAGATCATTTGTGAGCATTTGCAAGTTTTTCTTCGTATTCTTGGCCGTTCTCCTTCCATCTGGGAGGAAGTTCAAAGGTCCTGGCCCTTGGTCAAATCCAGGTTGGAGGCTTCGCCTCACCCTTGGAAAATCGTTGCCGGACCCATTTCGGCCATGATTCAGTATGCCAGGGATATGGGATGGGATGTTCAGTCCCCGGAAGTCTGGCATATTGATGGCCACCCCTGGCCCGTTGACTTCAGCCCCTTTCTTTTTCAGGAGCTGCGGCGCAAGATTCGGTCTACCATCAAGAGCGAAAGGTTGCGAGCCATCTCTGGCCAACATGGCGGCCAAGGAGCTCAGGAGGGTGTAGATTTCACAATTCATCGCCGCATTGCTTTAAAGAAGACCAAACGTCTGACCTTCTACAGGTCAATTTGGCAAGGTGCAGTTGTGCATGCGGGAAGTGGTGGCCACCCCAAGTGCCCGTACTGTAAGGATCGGGGCCTTGATTCAGAAAACACACTACAACATGTGCTGTGGGACTGCCCCAGATGGGCCAGACAGCCAAAGCTTCCCAGGCATCTTGAACAAATGCGTCAATCCCATCCTGCGCCCTGCCTTTGGTTGCGAGCCCTTCCCCCTCTTGCCTATGTCTCCTCGCCACTTCAGAACGCTGAGGATAGGTATGCGGGCACCTGGCCGTCACAGCCCTGGGACTCGGATCTTGTCATTGGTACTGATGCCAGTGGCGGAAAATTTTCATCCGATCCCAGATTGCGGACCATTGGATGGGCTGTGATTCTAGCACGCAAAACGGGCCAAAGTATCACAGTTATTGCAACTGCGAGCGGGGTTTTGCCTCGGCCGGCCACGGTTCTAGATGGGGAGGTCCATGCCATTGTTAAGGCCCATGAGCTTTGCCCAGGCCTGACGGATCTTACTACGGATTCTCGGGTAGCTTGCAAGCAGGCTGCAGCTAGGGCGGTTACATCCAAGCATTCCATGTTTTGGAAACCCCAATGGCAGAACATATCCCCACAACATCTTCATTGGGTTAAGGCTCACTTGGATGTAGGAAAATTTGCTGAAAAGTTTGGAAAAGATGAGGTTTGGCGTTGGCATTTGAATCAGGAAGCTGACCAACTTGCTGGGTCCAGGGCTGACCAAGCTTTGCACCCTGATGCCAAAAAGCAAGTCAGGCAAGTTGACACGCTGGTTTCCACCCTTTCCCAGCTACTTAGCCAGAGGGCGGAGATTTTGATTACTACGCAGGACAAGAAGACTATTTTCTGCAAGCGCCAGCCAAAACCTCCAACCCTCAACAAAAGGCAACAGATTGAGCAACTCGTCAGCCAAACCGTCTCTCCGCTGGGACACCAGTGGGAAATTCGGAGTCAGCACCCTACGAACCTCACAGCCATGTGTGGGAAATGTGGCCTTTACCTGCAGCAAGTGGACCCTCCTTCACTGTTCCAGCAGGTCCTTGCCCAGCCGTGCTTGGGAAGGGAAGGTCGTCCCCCGGAGCACCTGGCCTGTCACTCCTCCCATCAGCTTGTTTCCATAGGCAAAGCTTGGCAGTGTAAAGTGTGTGAAGGCATTTTGCCAGCGCGGGCAAAGAAAGTCCCGGGGCTCCTCCAGTCCCTGTGTGTGACCCGTAAACACACTAACAAACTGACTAAGTTCACCAAGAGTTTGTTAAGTGGTGTAGGGGTTCCGGAGTCACTACCTGCCTCCAAGAAGGCTAGCAAGCTTTCTAAGGAGACTCTCCCAAAAGCCCAAAACCTTAGCAACTTCTTTGCAACACCACTTAACAGGGTTGAGGCCACTCCCCTGCAAACTCTCACTCCCGATGACCCTCCCTTGCAGAACATGGTCAGGATTGAGCCTCCCTCTCCTGCTGTCCGCGATTACCGGGATCCTGGAAGCCCAGAGCTTGGAGACTTAAGGGCTGCTGGCTCCATTGTTCGCAAGGTGAAGTTCCAAAATCCATCCAACCATTGTTACACCAATTCTCTGGTGGTTGGTTTCTTTTGGGTTGACCTGCTCCTTGATGCCTCCAGCCCCTTTGCTGGATCCCCCATCCAGGGCATCCTGCGATGGTTGAAAGATCAGCGCAAAGTCGAGCTGTGGCAGTCCCTGGTTTGGAAGAGACTAGTTGCAGGCCAGGGTCGATGGGAATCCCCAAACAGCCAGCATGATGTTTGTCAACTTCTCATGCACCTTTCTTCGGGGCTTCCCCGTGACCTCTCTTGCGTTTCATGGCGAGCTCATGCTCCCAACGCACCTCACCACGAGGGTAACCTTTTCCCACTTCCTCTTCACCTCCCGGAGCACGAAGTCTCTATGAAGGAACTTCTGGCAAATTGGCAACAAGGTGGAGAAGTGAAAATTCTTACTCACCCGCCTTTGATTGCATTGCAGCTTTTGAGGTTTGTTAGGGAAGGGGGGGGTTTTCGGAGGCTCGAGAACCCAGTTGGTTTTGAGGATCCTTGTGTGCTTGAGGGATTGGATGGGGAACTTCTTCGTTACTACCCCAAGGCCGTGGTCTCGCATTTAGGCAACTCCCCGACCTCTGGACATTATCGAACTTTACTTCTCCCCTCCAAGCTCATTACTGATGATGGGGTAGGTGCTGTTTGCGCCAAGCCTGCAGATGTAGCCTGGTCTAAGTGCTACTCGTACCTGGTTTTGCTAACCCTCCATGTCTGAGCCTTCTCGCAGCTTTTGGCTCCAAGATGGGTAAAGGAAAAGGGAAGAATAAGCCAGGGAAGGGGCAAAATGCCCCTTTCGAGGACCCGGTAACGGAACAGAGGTACCAGGCCCTCTTGCAGCATCGTTTCAGTGAGGGCAAACCTGCTATTTCGAGATCAAGGTACTCCAGGCAAAGCCAGCACTCAGGTACCGACCGGGAACCTCCGGCTTCTGGTCCCAACTTGTCAAGGTCGGTTGAGGCCCCTATCACAAGGCCAAAAGCCGTACCCAAGCCGGGGGTAGCCCGAACCCCACCACCACCACCGCCAAAGCGGCAACGCACAGAGGCCCAGGCTGAGGAGGCCTCGCCAAGAGCCTCCGGTTCCAATCTGCAGGCTGAGGTGCCCTCGCCTTCCAATGCTGATGAACCAGGCCTAGCCTCCACAACTCAGGTTGAGCAGGTCTCACCTGAACCAACCTCTCCTTTGGGGCCTGAGCAGGATGAGGTGCTGACCTCTCCTAAACAGGAACCTGCCCAGAGTTCTCAGACTGAGGTTCCTCCACCGGCAACCAAGCCGGATACAGATGCTGGTGATCCAGGCCCGGCCGCCGCAACCCAGGTTGAGAAGGTCTCGCCTGAACCGGCCTCTCCCTCGGAGCATGAGCAGGAAGAGGTACTGACCTCTCCTAAGCAGGAGCCTGCCCAGAGCTCCCAGGTTGAGGTTACCTCACCGGCACCCAAGCCGGATACAGAAGGCAAGGCTTCCAAAACACAGGTTGAGAAGATCTCACCTGAGCCAGCCTCTTCTTTGGTCCCTGAGCAGGTTGAGGAACCCTCACCTCATCCAGATCCTGTCCCCAGTGACCAGGTTGAGGCGAACTCACCGGCCACCACCAAGTTTTCGGAGGAGGCTCCATCCCCAGCGGAGTCCCTTCCAGGCCCAGATCCGGGAATCAAGGGCGAGGACCTCAGAAGGGAGCCAGGTTCGGAGGTTCCCTTGGAGCTTCTTTACAAGCAGCCCCTGAAGATCCCGAGATCCCTCCGAGGCGTGTCCCTCAACAAAAAGGGCTCGTCTGGCACGCCTTGGACTTTTTACAGTCCGGCGGAGCTGGAGGACGAGCATGGAGGGGTATGGGCCGTTTTGGGGGTAGGTGGCAGTCGTGTCACCTTGGAGCCCCCGGCTCAATGGGGACTTGGAGCCGATTTTCAGGTCCTCAAACTGGGGCTCGCCGAGGACATGGACCAGGAGCAGATTTTTCTGGAGGGACTCTCCAGAGATTTCACCTTTATCCCTCGACCGGGGACTTCTGGTGATGTTCTGCTCACCTTGTCAGAGAATGGCCATGGCAAGGGTTTTACCCTACGTGGCCGCGGGGTTTTCTACAGGCGGGTCATCCCTGTGGCTTCTCCGCAGGGAAGGCTTAGGACACTTGATGTCCCGGACCTCCTGGCTTTGCTAAGTGTGGTCGCGTTCTTGAGTGCCTGCCATATCCGCTTGTCGGATCTTGGGGAGCACAATGTAGGTTGGGCCCTCCCGACCTTGGCGCGCACACGCGCCGAGAACATGGCGCTTCAAAGTGTAAAGCTGCGCACGGCCGACTACGTGCAGGTTTGTTTGTACGACGGGGGCCGCTGGAGAGAAGCGCAGCACAAGCACTGGCCTGGAAAGGCGGCAACCAAGGGGCTTCTTGGCCTATGCGCCAAACATGAAATGTTTGGCCCATGGGTGGAAGAACAAATCCACCTTTATGGCTCCCCCGAGGTTTTGTGCAAGGTCTTCCTCCACCGCCTCCAGGACTTTCCGCACCACTTTGAGGGCTTAAAGGACTCGGGGTTCTTAACCTACCTTCCCTTGTGCTACAAGGTTGGTATGGTTATTCCCCTGAGCAACCCTTGGAGCAATCCGGATGATACAACCTGGCAGCTCGTTCCGATCCCCAGTTTGGACACCCCGACCAGTTGAAAAACCCCTGAAGGGTTTTAAGGTGAGGTGACTCCCTTAAGCTTGCAAGCCGCTTCAGGGTGAGGAGACTCCCCTTTCCAGCCTTAATTCAACGAGCCAATTTGGTCACAAGCCTAAGTCTGCTCAAGGTGAGGCTACTCCCTTGCTCTACAAGTCAACAACGTGAGGAGACTCCGTGGACTTGGAGAAGCTACAAGGTTGAGACACCTCCCTTGCACACCCTTTTGTTGCCGCCTAGCTCAAAGTGAGGAGACTCCTTGGAAGGTAGGCTGAGGGCAACCGCAGTAGGCAGGTGAGCTCGACCAGTCTGTGCCGAGGGTGCTGTTTAAGGACATCACCTGATGTCAGACTGGTCTAGAGAAACTCGCCGCTCCCAAAGTGGACTAGGCTCCGAAATCAGGGTGAGGTGACTCCCCTAAAGCTCCGTCTCACCCTGACTCGAACTGGGCTCAGCCCAGCGGACCGACCGCTCGAGCGTGATTTTCAATCCTTTTGGCTCAAGACTTTGCAGTGCCGACGTGGCCTTTTAGCCTGGAGTCCCTACTTTTGCTAAAGGCCCTGACTGGAACCCAAACCGCAACCTTAAAGGTCGTAGGCTGGCTGTCCAGCAAGGGTTGGGGCGGGGTAGCGCCATACTGCACGTGCTTTCAAGCCGAACACTTGCTCAGCCGTTGTCACGGGTTGAGCTTGCTCGCCATGACTTGGGGAAAAAACGGTGCCAAGGGTGCAGCAACGCCCTACATCGTCTGTCCTCACTGCTCTAGGGCGGGTAAGCAGAGCTGGATTTTCGTAGACAGAGTCCAGCACCACCCCTTTTGCAACCTGTGTGGTAACGCCTGGAAAACACAGGGTGCTCCGGTCACTCAAAGACTGCGCCCGCGGGGTCCCAAGAAGAACAGGGACAGAAGCGCAACCACTGAGAGTGCAACTCAAAGCCCCCAACGGCCTAGGAATCATGAGGGCAACCTCTCCAAAGCCGTCACGACTCTTTGGCAGAAGTTTCCCCCAGAGGTCCAGAAGGAACTGAGCGAGGCAGGTTTCCAAGCAGGCCGGCAGCCGAGTCCGCCTCCAGGCCTCCAGTCTGGAAAAGGCAACGGGGCAAAGGGTGGGCTTGACGAGCAGGCCGAAGCCTCTAAGAACCTGTGGGATTCTGCGTCTGATGATCAGAAGAAGCTGATGCGCCAAGCTGGCATCCCTGAGCCGGTTGCGTCGGAGCCAACAGACCTTGCGGCCCTTTGCAAGAAGCACTTGGAGTCAATGCCGCCCTCGATCCAGCAAGCCCTTGCAGCACTTGATCCTCCGGCCCCCACGCAGACTCAGCAGATTGAGATTGCAACTCGTCGCTTTAAGCAGAGCACTACGGACTTGCGACTGATGATCCAGCAAACTGCTGCCTTACAGATTCGCATAGACCGCGCCAAAGCAACCTACCAGGAGCTGCTTGAGAAGATGAAGGTTTGCCAATCTGATTTGCAGAGCAAACAAGCTGAAGTCACGGCTATGCAGTCGGAGTTGGAAGCCACACTCCGTGCTGATGCTTCGGGTCTGGAGGACCCCGCGCGCAAGGACGATCCCTTGGAAGGGCTTCTAGATACGCTTGCCAAAGTTGGAATTGTCCTGACCCAGGAGCAGAAGGAGCTTTACGAGGAGGCCCAGCGCGGCAAGCTTAATGATGGGCAGCAGAATATGGAAGTTGAAGCCACAAACCAGCCTGGTTTGACGGCTCCGACCCGTGCCCCGCTGAGCCAAACTCTGCCAGAACACAAGGGCACTGAGCCGCATGAGCAAGCCAAGCCCAGGTCCAGGAGCCGAGGCCGTAGCACGCAGCAAGGTTAGGGAGTGGGGCTGGGGGTCCAGGTTAGGTCTGTTTTCGAGGAAGGTCCTTTAAGTGGGGAGAGTGGGCAACCTGCTTGTGCATTTCAGCCTGCCCTTCAGCTTGATCAAGACGTTTCCTGTGCCCCTGCGTCCAGCTCTCAGCCATGCGGGTTCTCCGGCGAATCGGTTAAGCGACCCATTTCTTTGTACAGTGATTTGTTTTCATTGGGGGAGTGCCAACCTCAGCAGCCCAAGTCCTTAGAGAAGGTTTCAGGGTATGTTGAGGCTTACTCACAATTTTGCAACAAAGACCTTGTATGGGGTCAGTTTTGGTTACCAGGTTTTTCTGGTCAGGAAGAATGGGATTCTTGTGGGGATCTGAGTGCCTGGCAGACTGTTACCAAAGGATTGCGCCACAGCACCCCGCTGCAGTCCCAGGACACCCAACTCATCACAGGGCCCCAGTTCTGGCCCCCATCTTTCTCGACAACTGAGTTTGATGAGGTCCCTGTGACCGGTGCTTCTCCAATCTCTGCTTTTGTGGCCACAACCTCAGCAACGGCATCTCAAGTTGAGGAGTTTCCTCGCTTACAGGCGTCGGGGAGCCATGCCGAGGTTGGGGTCACCCGCAAACGTAATAAAACCAGACGCAGAGCGAAAAAGCCCAAACACATGAGGGTACCCTTTTCTCAGCTTGCCCGTTGTGAAAAGCCACCTGAGGTGCCACCTTTGGCAAGCCCACACAGCCAGTGGCGAACACTCGAAGGCCAGGTGTGGGAGGCTGTCCAGAACCCAGATCTGTTGGGAGCAACTTCAGAGGTTGTTGGCCACCTTCTTGATCAGGTTGAGCAGGGCAGCTTAGGTTGGTTGCTGTGCCAGGAGATCTTGGCCCTCCAACGTTCTTTTGACTTGACTTTGCTCTTGCTTGTTGCTCGGGGCTTTGAAGTTTTGTGCAAATCGCAGCCACAGGGGCACAGGCAAATGCGAGTCACATCTTGCAACATTACTTCTTGGAGACCAGAAGTCAAGCAATGGTTTTCAGCTCAAGGGGATGTTATCTTGATTCAGGAGCACCATCTTTTGGAGTCCCAAGTTGTTGCTGAAATCTCGTCTATGGCTGCCATGGGCTTCGACTCCTTCCTTTTGCCCGCAGCCCCTGGGGAAGGCCGACGGAATAGCTCTAGAGGCGGAGTTGGGGTTTTAGTTAGAGCCCACCTGGGAGCCCGTTTGCGAGGTCAGTATACCAACCAAGGTTGTGGCTACGTGGCGGTGACGCTACGCACACAAGGGGCTGACTTGACAGTAGTTAGCCTGTACCTCCAGTCTTCCTCCGGCTTCGGGTCCCCGGTCAACTCTGACATCCTTGCATCTCTGCGCGCAATTCGTCAATCTGTGAGGGGCCCAATCCTGATAGGTGGAGACTGGAACTCGCCTTTGAAGGATTTGTTGGACACTGCCATTTTTCAAAGTTTGTCCCTGGAACCAATTGGGCCCAACAAAGCCACCTGTGGTGACAATGAGCTTGATTTTCTGGCTGTATCACACTGCCTGGAAGGTTTGCTCCGGGTTGATGCCTCCTGGGATGTTCCTTTCAAGCCACATGCAGCAATCCAAGTTGCCCTTAATGTGGGCGCTTTCCAGCTCACCACTCCACAGCTTCCCTCCTTTGTGCTTTCCTTCAGGGAAGAACCGCTTGATTACATACAGGTTGAGGAGACCCTCGCCTCTTTGCCGGATACCACCTTTTCGGCTGACCCCCTGAGCAATCGACTGGCTTCCATTTCCAGTTCGGTGGAGCACAGTCTTTTGCAATCGTCCCAGGGTATTGGTCGCCAACTCCAAGTTGAATTCCTCCCAGCTGTTCCTCGCATGTCCCAGTTCGCATGGGAAGGCTCTTGCCAGGCTTTTTGGCACCGGGTACAATTTCTGTGCCAGGGAGACCACCCCAAACGTCGAGAGCAATGCCAGGAGTATTTGCCGCAGATCCTGGACCACTGGCAGGGCAACTCGGAGGAGGCTGTTTCTTTTCTTTCTACGCTCCAGGCCTGTCTCTCGGAGCAGGCTGCTGTTCCCGAGCCCGTCCAGCAATTATTGCAGGAGCAATTTCTGCTGGCCTCTAAAGTTCACCAGGATGCCCAGACCAAGTCGTACAGGTCGTGGTTGCAGGGAGCCCAAGAAAAAGGGATGGCTCCCCTTTTCAAGACGATCAAAAAAGGTGAAATCACCACTGCACGTCCCTTTCGGGATCTGTCCGCAGAGGTCCGCGCCCTGGCTAGAACCAAACTATGGCTCCGCACTTGGAAAGGCGTACTTAGAGTTGAGGACCTTCCTCCTCTTCCACACGCAGAGCAACAGGCTCGCGGAAAGCTACGGGAACTGGCTGCTCAGCAGGTCGCTACCCTGAGCCCCATTTCCCCGGAACAGCTGCAACAAAGGTTTTCCAAAGGCAGGGTCACTGCCCCAGGACCGGATGGCTGGAGCAAGTCCCTTCTCAAGAAATTGACTTGGCCAATGCTTCAGGACATCGCTGAATTTTATCAGGAGCTCGAAAGAGGCCTCCGAGTCCCGCAGCAGTTTCTCCTGACACAAGTTTGTATGCTGCCCAAATCGGCTACTGCTGAGAGACCTATCTCTTTAACTCACGTTTTGTGGAGGGACTACTGCAGAGCCAGGTGGTCCCTGATCCAAGAGTGGACGGTCTCCTACCAGGCCCTGGCTCCTTGGGATGCCGCAGTGCCAGGTCGAACATCTTTAGACATCGGCATCCGCCGGTTGCTGTGGGCCGAAGCCTCCCGAACTCAGTCCAAACACTTTGTAGGACTCTTTCTTGATATCAAAGGTTTCTATGATTGTGTAGTTTGGGCCTCGGTAGTCGACACCGGACTCCTGTTGCAGTTCCCACCTTTGCTTTTGGAGCTTTCCCTTCAAATTTATGGTGGGACACGATTTGTCTCAGCCGAAAATTCGGTTTCGCCGGGAATCATTCCCACAGTTGGGTTGCTTCAGGGTTGCCCTGTTGCGCCGGTGGTTTCGAAACTGGCTTTGTTTGTCCCAATCAGGGACCTTCAGGCTACTGGCCTCACTCACAACATCGACCAGTGGCTTGATGACATTTCGGCTGACGTGGTAGGGTCCACTGCTTCTAACACGGCTCACAAAGCCCTCAAGACATTTCGTATACTGCGAGACTCTCTTGCGGAACGAAATCTTCAGGTTTCCTTGGAAAAAACCAAGTTTCTTTGCTCAGACTCTGCCACCTCTCAAGTTCTTGCGCGTCTGCGTTCGGACCAAGATCCTGGCATTACTCTGTTAGCCAAAGACTTAGGGGTTGACAGCAATGCTGGCAGACGCCGCAGGCTTGCCACCTCTCTGGGCAGGCACAAGAAGGCGCAAGGCCGCCACAAGCGCCTTCGTGCTTTAGGTGTTGATTCGCATTGTTCACGCACGAGGGTTGTGCGCGGATCCATCATGACATGTGCCACCTATGGCCATCAGGCACAGGGTGTTAGTCCCAAACGGTTGAAATGGCACCGCGCTGTGCTGGCTGGTAGCTTAGGACGCCAACATCTAGGAGGAACCCTGACCGTCTTGGAGATGTTCTCCCACAGATTTCCGGATCCCCGAGAGCAGATCATTTGTGAGCATTTGCAAGTTTTTCTTCGTATTCTTGGCCGTTCTCCTTCCATTTGGGAGGAAGTTCAAAGGTCCTGGCCCTTGGTCAAATCCAGGTTGGAGGCTTCGCCTCACCCTTGGAAAACCGTTGCCGGACCCATTTCGGCCATGATTCAGTATGCCAGGGATATGGGATGGGATGTCCAGTCCCCGGAAGTCTGGCATATTGATGGCCACCCCTGGCCCGTTGACTTCAGCCCCTTTCTTTTTCAGGAGCTGCGGCGCAAGATTCGGTCTACCATCAAGAGCGAAAGGTTGCGAGCCATCTCTGGCCAACATGGCGGCCAAGGAGCTCAGGAGGGTGTAGATTTCACAATTCATCGCCGCATTGCTTTAAAGAAGACCAAACGTCTGACCTTCTACAGGTCAATCTGGCAAGGTGCAGTTGTGCATGCGGGAAGTGGTGGCCACCCCAAGTGCCCTTACTGTAAGGATCGGGGCCTTGATTCAGAAAACACACTACAACATGTGCTGTGGGACTGCCCCAGATGGGCCAGACAGCCAAAGCTTCCCAGGCATCTTGAACAAATGCGTCAGTCCCATCCTGCGCCCTGCCTTTGGTTGCGAGCCCTTCCCCCTCTTGCCTATGTCTCCTCGCCACTTCAGAACGCTGAGGATAGGTATGCGGGCACCTGGCCGTCACAGCCCTGGGACTCGGATCTTGTCATTGGTACTGATGCCAGTGGCGGAAAATTTTCTTCCGATCCCAGATTGCGGACCATTGGATGGGCTGTGATTCTAGCACGCAAAACGGGCCAAAGCATCACAATTATTGCAACTGCGAGCGGGGTTTTGCCTCGGCCGGCCACGGTTCTAGATGGGGAGGTCCATGCCATTGTTAAGGCCCATGAGCTTTGCCCAGGCCTGACGGATCTTACTACGGATTCTCGGGTAGCTTGCAAGCAGGCTGCAGCTAGGGCGGTTACATCCAAGCATTCCATGTTTTGGAAACCCCAATGGCAGAACATATCCCCACAACATCTTCATTGGGTTAAGGCTCACTTGGATGTAGGAAAATTTGCTGAAAAGTTTGGAAAAGATGAGGTTTGGCGTTGGCATTTGAATCAGGAAGCTGACCAACTTGCTGGGTCCAGGGCTGACCAAGCTTTGCACCCTGATGCCAAAAAGCAAGTCAGGCAAGTTGACACGCTGGTTTCCACCCTTTCCCAGCTACTTAGCCAGAGGGCGGAGATTTTGATTACTACGCAGGACAAAAAGACTATTTTCTGCAAGCGCCAGCCAAAACCTCCAACCCTCAACAAAAGGCAACAGATTGAGCAACTCGTCAGCCAAACCGTCTCTCCGCTGGGACACCAGTGGGAAATTCGAAGTCAGCACCCTACGAACCTCACAGCCATGTGTGGGAAATGTGGCCTTTACCTGCAGCAAGTGGACCCTCCTTCACTGTTCCAGCAGGTCCTTGCCCAGCCGTGCTTGGGAAGGGAAGGTCGTCCCCCGGAGCACCTGGCCTGTCACTCTTCCCATCAGCTTGTTTCCATTGGAAAAGCTTGGCAGTGTAAAGTGTGTGAAGGCATTTTGCCAGCGCGGGCAAAGAAAGTCCCGGGGCTCCTCCAGTCCCTGTGTGTGACCCGTAAACACACTAACAAACTGACTAAGTTCACCAAGAGTTTGCTAAGTGGCGTAGGGGTTCCGGAGTCGCTACCTGCCTCCAAGAAGGCTAGCAAGCTTTCTAAGGAGACTCTCCCAAAAGCCCAAAACCTTAGCAACTTCTTTGCAACACCACTTAACAGGGTTGAGGCCACTCCCCTGCAAACTCTCACTCCCGATGACCCTCCCTTGCAGAACATGGTCAGGATTGAGCCTCCCTCTCCTGCTGTCCGCGATTACCGGGATCCTGGAAGCCCAGAGCTTGGAGACTTAAGGGCTGCTGGCTCCATTGTTCGCAAGGTGAAGTTCCAAAATCCATCCAACCATTGTTACACCAATTCTCTGGTGGTTGGTTTCTTTTGGGTTGACCTGCTCCTTGATGCCTCCAGCCCCTTTGCTGGATCCCCCATCCAGGGCATCCTGCGATGGTTGAAAGATCAGCGCAAAGTCGAGCTGTGGCAGTCCCTGGTTTGGAAGAGATTAGTTGCAGGCCAGGGTCGATGGGAATCCCCAAACAGCCAGCATGATGTTTGTCAACTTCTCATGCACCTTTCTTCGGGGCTTCCCCGTGACCTCTCTTGCGTTTCATGGAGAGCTCGTGCTCCCAATGCACCTCACCACGAGGGTAACTTTTTCCCACTTCCTCTTCACCTCCCGGAGCACGAAGTCTCTATGAGGGAACTCCTGGCAAGTTGGCAACAAGGTGGAGAAGTGAAAATCCTTACTCACCCGCCTTTGATTGCATTGCAGCTTTTGAGGTTTGTTAGGGAAGGGGGGGTTTTCGGAGGCTCGAGAACCCAGTTGGTTTTGAGGATCCTTGTGTGCTTGAGGGATTGGATGGGGAACTTCTTCGTTACTACCCCAAGGCCGTGGTCTCGCATTTAGGCAACTCCCCGACCTCTGGACATTATCGAACTTTACTTCTCCCCTCCAAGCTCATTACTGATGATGGGGTAGGTGCTGTTTGCGCCAAGCCTGCAGATGTAGCCTGGTCTAAGTGCTACTCGTACCTGGTTTTGCTAACCCTCCATGTCTGAGCCTTCTCGCAGCTTTTGGCTCCAAGATGGGTAAAGGAAAAGGGAAGAATAAGCCAGGGAAGGGGCAGAATGCCCCTTTCGAGGACCCGGTAACGGAACAGCGGTACCAGGCCCTCTTGCAGCATCGTTTTAGTGAGGGCAAACCTGCTATTTCGAGATCAAGGTACTCCAGGCAAAGCCAACATTCAGGTACCGACCGGGAACCTCCGGCTTCTGGTCCCAACTTGTCAAGGTCGGTTGAGGCCCCTATCACGAGGCCAAAAGCCGCACCCAAGCCGGGGGTAGCCCGAACCCCACCACCACCACCGCCAAAGCGGCAACGCACAGAGGCCCAGGCTGAGGAGGCCTCGCCAAGAGCCTCCGGTTCCAATCTGCAGGCTGAGGTGCCCTCGCCTTCCAATGCTGATGAACCAGGCCTAGCCTCCACAACTCAGGTTGAGCAGGTCTCACCTGCACCAACCTCTCCTTTGGGGCCTGAGCAGGATGAGGTGCTGACCTCTCCTAAACAGGAACCTGCCCAGAGTTCTCAGACTGAGGTTCCTTCACCGGCAACCAAGCCGGATACAGATGCTGGTGATCCAGGCCCGGCCGCCACAACCCAGGTTGAGAAGGTCTCGCCTGAACCGGCCTCTCCCTCGGAGCATGAGCAGGAAGAGGTACTGACCTCTCCTAAGCAGGAGCCTGCCCAGAGCTCCCAGGTTGAGTTTACCTCACCGGCACCCAAGCCGGACACAGAAGGCAAGGCTTCCAAAACACAGGTTGAGAAGATCTCACCTGAGCCAGCCTCTTCTTTGGTCCCTGAGCAGGTTGAGGAACCCTCACCTCATCCAGATCCTGTCCCCAGTGACCAGGTTGAGGCAAACTCACCGGCCACCACCAAGTTTTCGGAGGAGGCTCCATCCCCAGCGGAGTCCCTTCCAGGCCCAGATCCGGGAATCAAGGGCGAGGACCTCAGAGGGGAGCCAGGTTCGGAGGTTCCCTTGGAGCTTCTCTACAAGCAGCCCCTGAAGATCCCGAGATCCCTCCGAGGCGTGTCCCTTAACAAAAAGGGCTCGTCTGGCACGCCTTGGACTTTTTACACTCCGGCGGAGCTGGAGGACGAGCATGGAGGGGTATGGGCCGTTTTGGGGGTAGGTGGCAGTCGTGTCACCTTGGAGCCCCCGGCTCAATGGGGACTTGGAGCCGATTTTCAGGTCCTCAAACTGGGGCTCGCCGAGGACATGGGCCAGGAGCAGATTTTTCTGGAGGGACTATCCAGAGATTTCACCTTTATCCCTCGACCGGGGACTTCTGGTGATGTTCTGCTCACCCTGTCAGAGAATGGCCATGGCAAGGGTTTTACCCTACGGGGCCGCGCGGTTTTCTACAGGCGGGTCATCCCTGTGGCTTCTCCGCAGGGAAGGCTTAGGACACTTGATGTCCCGGACCTCCTGGCTTTGTTAAGTGTGGTCGCGTTTTTGAGTGCCTGCCATATCCGCTTGTCGGATCTTGGGGAGCACAATGTAGGTTGGGCCCTCCCGACCTTGGCGCGCACACGCGCCGAGAACATGGCGCTTCAAAGTGCAAAGCTGCGCTCGGCCGACTACGTCCAGGTTTGTTTGTACGACGGGGGCCGCTGGAGAGAAGCGCAGCACAAGCACTGGCCTGGGAAGGCGGCAACCAAGGGGCTCCTTGGCCTATGTGCCAAACATGATATGTTTGGTCCATGGGTGGAAGAACAAATCCACCTCTATGGCTCCCCCGAGGTTTTGTGCAAGGTCTTCCTCCACCGCCTCCAGGACTTTCCGCACCACTTTGAGGGCTTAAAGGACTCGGGGTTCTTGACCTACCTCCCCTTGTGCTACAAGGTTGGTATGGTCATTCCCCTGAGCAACCCTTGGAGCAATCCGGATGATACAACCTGGCAGCTCGTTCCGATCCCTAGTTTGGACACCCCAACCAGTTGAGAAACCCCTGAAGGGTTTTAAGGTGAGGTGACTCCCTTAAGCTTGCAAGCCGCTCCAGGGTGAGGAGACTCCCCTTTCCAGCCTTAATTCAACGAGCCAATTTGGTCACAAGCCTAAGTCTGCTCAAGGTGAGGTTACTCCCTTGCTCTACAAGCCAACAACGTGAGGAGACTCCGTGGACTTGGAGAAGCTACAAGGTTGAGACACCTCCCTTGCAACCCCCTTTTGTTGCCGCCTAGCTCAAAGTGAGGAGACTCCTTGGAAGGTAGGCTGAGGGCAACCGCAGTAGGCAGGTGAGCTCGACCAGTCTGTGCCGAGGGTGCTGTTTAAGGACATCACCTGATGTCAGACTGGTCTAGAGAAACTCGCCGCTCCCAAAGTGGACTAGGCTCCGAACTCAGGGTGAGGTGACTCCCCTAAAGCTCCGTCTCACCCTGACTCGAACTGGGCTCAGCCCAGCGGACCGACCGCTCGAGCGTGATTTTCGATCCTATAATGGTGCCCCTGTGTCTCGCCAAGGTCAGGAACACTTTCTGTTTTCTCCTTTGTGAGTTTTAGAGAACCTTAGGTGTAGTTGTGAACGGTAGGAGTAGGGAAAAGTTGTCTGTCTGTCGGTCGCTGCGCTCACGCTTCCTGTCTCACCTTGCGGTGAAAGTGATCATTGCCAGAAGCGTGTCCAACCGGAGTTTTCCTCACGAGTTTTCACGAAGAACGGTGTTTCCCTGAAGCATGATGAACATCAGAGTGTTTTCAGTTTGTTTGCTGTGAGAACGGACTTCTAGACGAAGTCCGGGGAGCACCTGGGCCATAGAACAGAGTTACCAGTGCAGAGAAGCCGTTAGGAGTCCTTAGGACTTACCGCGGAAGTGAGTGTGCTGAAGTCTCTGTCTGCGCCCCGTTTCACTTTGGCTCAAGACTTGCACTGCGTGACAAGCGCGTGGTGAACAGTTGGTTGCGAAGAAAGGTGTAAAAGTGCTGTTAGCTTTACTGCTGTGGCCTTGTGTGGCGTAGTCAGTCAGTCGGCTTGCACCTCCTTTTACTAAACCTAGAAGTGTGCCTCAAGGCGCGTTTGGGTTTTAACGTAGCGGGTCAGAAGACAGAGCACGGCCAGCACTTGCAAGGAATAATCACAGACCTCGCCTGCCCAGATCCACAGCAAGACCTGCAATCCTGCTTAGCAAGCCTATGTTGGCAAAAGAACCCACAGGCTGAAACTGTTCCAACAAAAGAAGCTCTGCCAAAGACATAATCTCCTCGAAAACCTCTGCTGCTCTGTGTTTCAGACTCAACTTTTGAACAACAGGCTCGGATACTTCGAAGCCAATCATCTTGCAAGGAACGCACTGTTGGGGTGGCCCAAAATCCGGCTCCAGATCAGGAGCCAAAAAGTTCTTGCGAGATGCCAAAACTCCATATTTCCAGACTTGCATGTAACATGTTGTTTGGAGCCAGAAAAAAATCACAACAAGCATGGAATCACAGGGATGAAATCATTACAAACGAAAACTAGCACAAAAAATTATGTTGCTTTGTGATTTTCTGAAAAAGGATCAATATTCTGAATGCTGAAGCAAGAGCAATCGACAAATCTCAAGGACCAATGATTTGCATTAAACACGGAACACGACGAGTCCTTATCCTCAAAATCATATGTTTTACCCTTCACCTCAAATCCAGCCTTTAGGCAGGAGACCCTTGCGGAGAATGACTTGCATAGCCATGGGGCAGTTGCATCAGGTCTCTCCTTTCTGGATTCGAACTTTAAGTTGAATTCCAAGTTGAACTCAACTCTGAACTTCTTGAACTGGAGTTGAACCTGGAGTTGAACTCTGAAAGGGAAGAGTTTGAGCCCAGGGTTGAACATGAGAGTTTCCGAACCCAGAGTTCGGAGTTGAAACCCAGGTTTCGAACATAGAGTTTCCGAACCTAGAGTTCGAACATGGAGTTTCCGACAGAGTTCGAACTCTTGCATCATTGCTTCTTGTTCTTTCATTTTATTTTTTCGCAAACCCCCATTAGCGATTTCGTCTTCTTCTTTTTTTGTTTGTGCTTGCAGTTGAGTTTGTGGTTTCTGTCATTGTAGTGTGCTCTCAGCAATTTTATTCGCAAAACCCCCCGCAAAGCGATTCTGTGTGGCTTCTTTTTTTTTGTTTGGTGATTGTTGGTGTTCGAACCCCGTTCGAACTTTCGGAAGGAGTCTAGAACCCGGGGTTGGGCGGTTCATTTGTTCGCGCCTTTAGCATTCTCGTAGAAGACTTCATGTCCTTCTGAACCCCCCGTTGAGAAGAAAGACTCCTTGTCATTGACAATCTTTTTCTTTGTTTTGTCTTTCTTTTATTTTCTTCGCCAAAACCACCCATAAAGTGGTTTCGTGTGGCTTCTTCTTCTTTTGTGGCAGGGACTGGTCCTTGGCAGTCTTTTTCAACTCCTCCTCATTGACAATCTGTTTCTTTGTTTTGTCTTTCTTTTATTTCTTCGCAAAAACCACCCATAAAGCGGTTTCGTGTGGCTTCTTCTTCTTTTGTGGGCAGGGACTGGTCATTGGCAGTCTTTTTCTTTGTTTTCGGCAAGCTTCTAAAAACAGTGGCGGCCCCAAACGTGGAGTTCCGGAACCCAGAGTTCGAACGCCCCAGGGGGAGACGAATTCCACAACCCGAGGTTCCAACATAGAGTTCCCCAAACCTCAGGTTCCAACATAGAGTTCCCGAACCCAGGGTTCGAACTCCCTGGGGGACGGGCGCGGGGTGGTTCCGGAACCCGGGGTTCCGGTATAGAGTTCCCCAACCCCAGGTTCGAACATAGAGTTCCGAACCCAGGGTTCGGACTCTCTGGGAAAGGGGGAGGAGTTCCCGAACCCGGGGTTCGAACGTGGAGTTCTCCAAACCCCGGGTTCGAACATAGAGTTCCCGAACCCAGGGTTCGAACATAGAGTTCCCGAACCCCGGGTTCGAACATAGAGTTCCCGAACCCAGGGTTTGAACATAGAGTTCAAACTCCAGGTTCAACCTGGGTTCGAGAAGTTCGAACCCAGGGTTCAACCCTGAGTTCCGGAGTTATATGTTCTCCCCCCCCCCCCGGCCCCCCGGGAGTTCGAACCCTGGGTTCCGGAACACTCCAAAAACCTATGCTCCCTTGTCCTTTGCCTCGGCGGCGGCGAAGCGCGTATTGTACGCCATTGACGCTGCAAAGGACCACCTTGCCGCCAACATGCATCGGCTGCAATGGTATCAGCGAGACCAGCGATCCACCCCACGCAACTGGGTTTACTTCGTACTCGAGGCCGTTGAGGGCCGCTTAGCTCGGGCATTGCTTGGCGCCTTACTGCCCGACGTTGCTCACGGTGTCGTTTGGCTCCACGACGGTGTGTATGTTCGCGCAGCGGGCAGTGCACTTTGTGTACCGGTGCTGCAACAGGCCGTCGCAGCCGAACTCGGCCAACTCCTCACTGAGGCGACTGGCGGCGTTATGCGGCATTTGCCCAACCCGGAGGAACTCGTTCGCATCTCTGATCTCGCCAAGTCTCACCAGGAGCTAGTTGCACATTTCGCCCTAGACCGCTGCTCACACCGTCCCACGGCCCGCACACCAGGCCGACCTGCTGTATGCCGCCGTGGAGCTGGCCACTTGCCGGCTCCTGAGAACGCCGCTCGCCGTGCGCACCTCAAGCGCACGACTGCAAAGGAACAGGGGGCAGCCAAACGCCATTGCATCGGGCTGCACGCCTTCTTTCGCCGCGCGACTAGCCCGTAAGCGCTAGCGCATCTGTGTCGGTGTTCTGATTCTCACCGGGGCTGGTTTGCCCCCTTGCCATAGGCGCGCGGCGTGCTTTTGCTCTCTTTTTTGGAATGGTAGGTCCGTTCCATTTCGAGCAGCGGGGAGGCATATTCGCTTCACTCCTTTTGGGTCAGCGTTAGGGCTGATTCGATTACGTAGGCCTGGGAAGTTGCTTGGAGCGTCTTTTTATTTCTTACCTAAGCATTAAGGTCCGCTGGATTCTATGTTGATGCTGCTGCCGTGGGCTCGATACCCAGACCCCCGGGTGGATCTATAAATTAGATCCACCACTCATGTCGGAAAATAGAGACGATTTCTTGAATGGATCTAAAAATTAGATCCATTCGCAATCGTTGTACGGAAAATCTTGACATCGTTTGAGCATTATACAAAGCTTGAGCCGTTTGAGCCAGTATATATAGTATATTGCATCATGAGCATTAAAAAAGCTTGAGCCGTTTGAGCCAGAATATATCGTGTATTGCATCATCGGAGCATTATACAGAGCTTGAGCCGTTTGAGCCAGATAAACCAGAAGCCCCAAACCCGAAAAAAACTGAATTAAGCGTTTTGGGTCGAAGTTTACGAGAAGGAGAGCCAGGGAGAGGGAGAAAGAGAGAGAGTTTGCGAAGGTTTGGGCTTCGGGGTTCGCGGTTGAGGAGTTTTGGGGTTTTGAGGTGCTGGTTTACGGTTTTTAGTGGTTCTGGACTGCGAGACTGCCTTTTTTTCCACTCGCCACCTCACTCACTCGAGCACTCCAGCTTCTTTTGCTGAAGAAAGTTGCATTTCCAGTGGATCACATTCGACCAAGTGCTGCGATGAGCAGAACGAGCAATCTTGGCTATGACCCCATTCAAGCTTTCGTCACGATAGGTGGAGTACAATCGCGGATTCCCTCTGTGAAGAGCCCGCTGAATCATGTGCACAAGAAGATGACATTTCGGCCTCCATACACCGCCCGCTTTCAAGTAAAGCGTTAAAAAGCGTAGGTACAGCTGCAGCAGGGCCTGGCAATGTTGTCGAGTGAACTGTCGGAATTCCAACTCCAGCAGCTCGTCCATGGCATGGGCAGCTTCTGTACAAGCCGTCAAGAGTGCGAACTTGCGAGCCAGCTCATCCGGCTGCTTGGCGAATTCATCGGCGTACTTGTGCAGCAGCCAGAGGACGAATCTAAGAAGACCGTGCGACTCAGCTGCTTTTGCCGACAAGTTGTAGGTATCCTCATTTCCAATCATGCCTATTGCCATAGTCAAGTTCCAGACCTCGGATCCCTTCTCTCGCCACCTTTGGTCGGTAGATCTCAGGTTCTTGTAGAATTGAAAGAGCTCGGCTTTGATGGCCAAAAGGGCCAGTTCTCGAAGTTCTGAAGCTTCTATATTCACACTGCGGGGTGAAAACACACCCGAAGCAATGAAACTATGCATAGCCAGGCTTATGAACTGCTGCATGGGTCCGAGGTGCCAGGCGTGCATAATATCAATTGACCAACTATCCTGTGTAACCCCCTCGAGCGAAAACAGAGGGCACATGTGGGTCAGCCTTGCATCTCTCGGCGCAATCCAAAAAATCACCCTCAGAGGAAGCTCTTGGTATTCCAGCTGGCTGACATCTGGAAGCCGGCGGCTGGGCTCGAGTCTCCAGTTCTTGCGGAGGCCGTAGCGGTTATCGTGTTTACTCGATCCTGTTTAAATATCAAACCATTTTGCTTTTTTTGCCTGCGGGCCCGGTGCGATTTTGTATTCCCTCCTTTTCTGCATGCGGCATGTCATGTTTTCTTGGAGCCCTTTTTCGCATCTTTATCGGATGCCGCAGCGAAGCCGGCTCACGAGAGAGCTGTTGCGTTTAGCTGCACCACGTGGTAGGTGCCACAAGGAGTTCGAGCTACATTCTGCTGTTTTTGGGTTTCGCTGAGACTGGACAGTTGCAAAACAGCTCTCGCACTTTGCGCATCCTCTTGCTGGCTATTGCCGATTTAGCTGACGGTGATCGCAGGCGCCTTCAGAGACTTTATTTGGGGCGGTAGTGACAGTATGGCCTCTTCTGTCATTTCGCATCAGGAGGGCTCTGATGAGGAGCAATCGTCGTGGCTGGCAAACTTGGTGGCAAGCTCTCGGGATCCTTGGTCCAACCCTCGGTCTGAAAGCCCTATGTCGGTGGTGCAGTGTGAGTCACCCCGGACAACGGCGATAGCGGTTTCCTTCGGCCATAGTTTGGCTACAGCAGCTCACGATGGCGAAACTCCTGCTCACCATGATGCCTCGCTTTGGTTCCGGCTGCAAAATCTGCAGAATGCTTCGACTTCTGAACCTTCATCATTGCGCAACTGCCAACAGAGCACATGGGCACTTCAGCTTTAGGATTGCGGCCTGTTCTTAGGGGGGGGTTTCCCCTCATGCTGCGTACCAGGCACTTTTGAGCTCTGGCACACACGCTTGTGATTGCGGTCAGCTGCCTTTTCACTTTTGGTCAGCGGAATGTGGAACTGCGCTTTGACATTTTGATGCTTCACATGTCCCTGACTCTCCTGTTGGCCAGGCGATCTGCATCGCTTCGTGGAGCGGGGCGCCCTTTGCTAGCTGGTCTGTGGGTTGACGTTCAATGGAGTCATCGTCCGAAGGTGTGATTGGGGCTTTCGATTCACTTATGCCATTGCAGACTGTGGCTCGTCCCTCGCATTCGGGGGCTGATCATCCTGTTCGCTTGTCAGAAGCTGCTCGCAGACCACGGGGCAATTGGATTGCGCCGAACCCTCTGTCTCAGCCGGCGGTTAGACCTCGACGTTCAGCACCCTACATTAGGGAGGCCCCTGCTCCCCTTCCTGCCCCTCGCAGAGCTGCAGATTATTTCAGGCATGCACCAGTTAGGCATCAGGCTCCGATTGGACCTGTCGTGGACTCAGCTGGGACGGCACCTGCAGGTTCGACTAGCAGGCCTGTCAACGCCCCGTTCCATTTGGTTGGTGGGGTTCGCACTCGGGGTCCTGAGGGCTTCAAATCATCTGCGATGTTGCACGCTGAAGTCTGGCAGAGGTGCTTGAAGTTGTGGGCCCTGATTCAACCATGGTTACAGACGATTTCTTCAGTGTTGCAGGAGCTCGGGGAGTCTCGTCACGCTTCCACCCTGTTGCAGAATCTGCTGAAGTCGGTTTCGGAAAACACTTTGGTTCGATATTTGGCTCATCTGCTGAAGTTCGTGGGAACATTACAGGATTTGAACGTGCGCTGGGAGTCCATTAGACAGCTTGAAGTGGTCGATGCTCTTCTGTCTATGCACAAGTCAGGCTCACATGTCACCAATGGTTTGAAGGCGGTTCGCTGGGCCGCCAAGACGTTTGGGCTCGCCCTGCCAGATCTCTATGGAGGTCTTTTGGTTGGAGTGGAGGCTCGCATTACTTCCGACAGAAAGGAGGCTCTTCCGCTTCCGATTTATGTTTTGGCTTACTGTGAGCGTGCCCTTCTACTGGAGTCGGGTTCAGTGGGTTTCAGATTATTTTTGAGCGCAATTATTTCGGCATCGGCCAGCCTTCGCTTCTCCGATGCGCAACACATTTTATGGACATCGATTCAAGCTGCTCAAGATAATGTGAGGGCCATTTCATATCGAACAAAGTCATCCCGGCGGGGGATGCCATTTGGCTTCGTTTCTTGTGGTTACTACGGCGACTCAGGGTCCTACTATCATAGTTGGGTGTGCAAATACCTTTTTCTGTTGGGTTCCGAATGGGATTCAATTGTTTCGCGCTTTGGGGAGACAGTGCCGGACGCTGTATTCTTCATCTCCAGCTCAACAGAATGGCAACCTATGAGCTACGCGCAAGCTTTGTCGGCATTCAGGGGGATTTTGGTGTTGGCTGGCATGAGTCCCACGGAGGCCGCCTCATATACTCTACATTCCCTGAAGACTTGTCTATTGGCTGCGTTGGCACAACTGCAGGTGTCTTTTCGCAAAAGAGGCCTTCAAGGTCATCACAGAACCGGACAGAATGGCTGCGTTCTTCTTTATAGCAGGGATGATGTACATGGAGCACTTTCCCTTCAACAGCTCTTTTGGGATCGGGTCCGTAGCAATTGGATGCCGCTGAACCCGCAGGCTCGCGGCGGTCAGCAACCAGCTGCGCAACAAGCCATTGAACCGCGAAGGTCTTGTCCTACTCTTCATCTCCTGCTCATCATCGCTTTCCGGTGGAGGCTGGCTCATTGGCATCCTCAGTGCGTACCCCGGCTCAGGAGCAAGCGCAGGCACATCCTCAGCCCGAGGAACAGCAGGAATCATCTGATTCGGACATTGATTCTTCATCATCTTCTTCGTCGTCGGCTTCGTGCAAGAAGAAAGGTGCGTTAGTGGCGGCAGTCAATAGGTTCTCGGAATCTGATGAGCAGATTTGGGTTCAGACATCGTCTGGCATCATTCATGCTGCTACTCCCTGCTCCGGGTGTGATGGGGTTTTGGTGAAGCGTGAGGACGGTGAGCTTGTTCGGGTCAAGCCGAGATGTGGCACTTTGGCGCACAACATGAATATCAGACCTGAGCTTCCGTCGAATCCCAGATTTTGCCGACATAAAGCATGTCAGGCGATTTTTGTGTCATAGGTTGGTGGCTGGGGCAGCTTCAGTCGGCTAGCATATTCTTTCGCACACTGCACTGTCGGGTATGGCGATCCTCGCATGCGTCGGCAAGCGAGCCGGACATCGAGGGGACTGTTTCTGCGCAAGGGCGATCGGTACACATCCGGGACTGCAGAGTGCACACTTGGCGTCAATTTTGGATGTCAGAAAAGGCGCCGGAGAAACATGAATGTGCAGTACGTTCAAGTGTTGTTGCGGCAAATGATTCCACAGCGGGCGGCAGTTTTGGAGCTATTGTCCTGTGATCGAAATTCACTTCGGGTTATGCCCTGTGGCTTAGGGTATCTTGGGCAACCAGTCAGGGTGCGTCGGCTGCCTTGCGGTCCCGGCTGTATCGCGACCGGTGATGTCGAGTGTGAGTTTGCTTCTTATGATCTCGTTTGGCTTGCCGGCTCCGGCACCAGATTTCATGCAGGTTAGTAGCTGGCTTCTTTCGATTGCCATTGTGCTAGGGCGATGACGGATGGCGAACCAGAAGCTCTGCCTGCGCTGCTGAACGAAGCTTTGGTGGCCTTGGCAGATCAGTGCAAAGTTCCGCCAGATTATCATGGGATTCTCGCGGGGTTTGATGTCAGCCTTTTCGGCTGCATTGCGGCTGATTCCTCAGCTTTGGATGAGGCGCTCAAGGATCTGCTCGAGGGCGCCGTGGAACCGCCCTCCACTGCTCAGCGCCTGCTTCTGCTTTCTTCGCTACGACTGCTTTACGAGACTTGCCGTCAGCAGTCGTCAGCAGCCCGTCAGGGCAAGCGCCAAGAGGAGAACGACATCACTTCGGGGTTGTCTACATCTAGCTGGTCCGAACAGTTTCCCCCCAAGCTTTCAGGCGAGCGTGTGATGTCTCTTCAGAAACAGTTTCACGCCCGCTAGCCGGGGGAGATCTTAGATCCCGACAATTATCCGTCGGCCAGGTTGCTAGCCTATGTGGCTAAGGTCGTTCAAAAAGGAGAGCTGCGGTGGATCCCGTGGAAACTCAGGATGAGCCAGGCCCAACAAGACTCCCTGGCTTTGCGGCGCCCAGCTAAGGTGCCTCGGTTAGAAGAGCTGATATACGACGACGTACCCCAGCGTGAGATACCAGCTGGAGCAGTTGGCGCGAACTATCTCTCGGGCATCTTGGGCTTGGTTTCAGTGGCTGTAGCGATGCTTCAGGGCGCGCACCTTGCGAGCCTTCGCAAGTTTGAGCGCAAGTTCATCAAACTGGCGACGCAAAAATGCGAGGCGGGCATTCGCAATCCGTTTGCTGAGGAAATCATGCAGGCAGATCGTCAGCTATGGTGCCAGATGGCCGATCTGGTCAATCTTCATGGCTGGTCCTTGGGTGATGCTCTGACAGAGTACAAGGAGATCAGGGGGGACATGGCTTCGTTACTACAGTCCCGGGTGGCGGTTCCCAAAAAGTTTGATATCCCACCTGGTCTTCGAAGGCTTCCTGGGGGCAAAGGCAAGCAGAAGGGCGGCGGCAAAGGTCGAGGTGCGAATGGGGGTCAGTCTGGTCAAACTGGTGCAAAATGGATCACGAAGTTTGAGGACAAGGGTAAGACTCGTCTCCTGTGCCGGGACTACTCTTCGGCTAAGGGCTGTTCCTTCACGGATTGCAAATTCGAGCATTTGTGTCCGGTACCGCGCCCTGACGGCAGACCTTGCTTGGGCAAGCACCCGGCGCATCAGCATAAGGCGATGCCTCACTGACTCTCGGATGATTCCTCGGATGTCAGGACAGGCAGATTCGATGCCGCGGAGCTGGTTCATAGCAGCTCTCAGCAGGATTTGGATTGGGAGACATGTCTATCCGTTTTGCAACAGCACTGTCCAGGATCAACTCA